GTAGCTGAGTCATGTAAAATGTGAAACCATAAGCAATCTAGGAGAATTTATATTAATGTGTGTTCCTATAAATTTTTAGCTCAACATTGCTTTATTTAAATGGTAAAATTTTATAATGTTCCATTGTATTATATATGTTATATTTTTAAAGCAAAGTAATGAAGGCACATGGAGTACAAGTTAATATAAACCCTTCCAACTTACATTGGTTTCTCCAGTATATTTTTCCCAAAGTATTAGCCTTAGTGATGAGAACTAAGAATTTTCACTTTGCTCTCTAATACCTATATGACAAGAATGAATAAACTATATGGCAAAAAGTAAAGAGACTTTAAAGAATTTGCTGCATTCTATATCTTTTGAAGAATGATGTTCTTCTGAGTGCATGTGTTTTAATACTTAATCCATCTTTGATATTTTAAAAATTTACTCTGCAAAAACAAAACAAAATTTTAAATAATGCATAATTTTGCTGAAATTATTATACTACAGGTTATGCACTTTGTTTCACCAAGCCATATGTCATATTTTTTTCTCTAAACCCATGTTCAAAATATATTCCAGACCTTGAAAAGTCAGCTTTTTCATCTTATGAATAGTTGGGTCAGGATCTCAGCCAGCCTTTTTCTTTGCTTTAATCCTTGAGTTGAAAAGCTCTCCTGTTAAGGGCAATTCTTGTCTCTGAATTAGAAAAGCAGTTAATTAAGTTCTAGTCATTACAAGGTCATAAATGAATATGACATTTTCCCCTATAGGTCCCACTTTTATGCATAGTAAGATTTCAGGAAAACTATAGAAAATAAAGGTTTTGAGAACTCATTTTGGGGGTTGGAGTGTTCCATTTAAAAGGTGATTACTTTTGCTTTTAGAAGGGTGTTCTTTATTTCTTCTGGTCTGATATCCTTCACAAATCTGAATCATGACCACAATCTCTTATTAGGGGAGGGGGTGCCAAGGATTGAACTCAGGGGCACTCAACCACTGAGCCACATCTCCAGTCCTATTTTGTATTTTATTTAGAGACAGGGTCTCACTGACTTGCTTAGCACCTTACCTTTGCTGAGGCTGGCTTTGAACTCTTAATCCTCCAGTCTCAGCCTTCAGAAGTCACTGGGATTTCAGGCGCCTATGCCCAGCATAATCCCTTTTTTTTTTTTAATGTTCAAAGAGGAAAGGATCAAATTTTATCTAACAATAGCTATCTTTTTCATCACCTTAGCTTTGAAATATTTATTTCATCAAATGTAATATAAATGTGTAACTTTTTTTAAAAAGAAAGTCAGCAGATACGCTGTATTTAAAGGATTTTTTTCTAATTAATTTTCACTTTTACAACTTTTATCCCTCTTTTTGTTCCTAAAATTTACCAGTCACCTCAAAATCTGGATCCCCGATACTCAAAACCACTTCACTTTCACAATATTTTGCTTGTCATCTTTAGGTATAACTGAACAATGTCCTTATACATGCGCAGGGAGCCTCAAACACAAGAGATGGTTTTTACACTTTTCCCCCAGCGCCTGCAATTCCTGATTATCATCTTAACACATTACTCCTGCAGTTTTTAAGGGCAAATAGACCAGTGTGGGGAGACAGTGTGGCACAGCAGGCTTGAAGCACTCTAGGTGTCAGAATGAGGCATTTGCATCATTTGTGTTGACATTTTCTTTGCTCAGCTCAAGTTTTCCCATTATGTCTTCAGCAGCCTCTGCTGCTGCTGCTTATGAAAAAGTCCCTTGTTATCTCAGTCAGCCAAATTAAAGGAAAATAACAAACATTTCAGAGTGATTCGTGGATACTCAGTGCCTAACTAAGGACAGGAATGAACTCATTAAAGAGCAGATGGCTGCAACTGCAGAGGAAGAGGGGGTAGCCACAGTGGCCACATCCTGGATAGGGCTGGGAACAGCGAAGGGGCAGCTGGCCTCAGTTCTGGGTCAGAGCAAAAAGAAACAGCGCACCAGAAGGAGCATACAGGAAGAGACCCAATAAAGCACTTCTAAAGCCCTCTGGCCTCAGTTCATTAGCTTCATTCCCACTGGGCTTCTCCTTGCAACATTACTCATTGACTGAGCAGGTGTGATAGACAAACGTGCAGCCCAATAAATGTTTCAGCCCAACGACTTCCCCAGGTCTACCTACCTTCTTCAACCTGCTAAAGGGGTTTAAGTGTTCAGTACAGACCACTTGCATTTCTGGAATTCTAACTTTACTGTTGGAGAAATACCTCAAGTACCTACTTGACATCCGTCTCTAGGCTTCAACCTAAAAGTTAAAAATAGTGGTAAACTGTTTTTCCAATTAGCTTCTCTTACATTCATCCAACTTTAATTTGCCTTTCCATTTGAGTCAATGAAGGAGAGAAAATTCACCAATATACAGGCAGGGCATATCTTAGTGTAGTGTGCTTCTGGGTGTTTATTTTCTGAATTATGAAGAGTACAGAGGAGGGTGGTATTAAATACTTTAGTAAGAGTTCTAAGAGGCTATAACGATTTTGCATTCCATTTTAAAAGTCTTAAGGGTTTGCTATCTGTGATGTATGGCAAGCATGGTATATATCTAACTTGGAAACCTATCCAGCCACAGGGAGCCAGGTACACCATAATGGTTATAGTTGTCTTTTTGGCCCTGGCATAAAAGTAAATCTGGCATAAAAGTAAATTTCTTTTTTTTAATATTTATTTTTTAGTTGTAGGTGGACCCAATACTTTTATTTATTTATTTTTGTGTGGTGCTGAGGATGGAACACAGGGCCCCATATGTGCTAGGTGAGCACTCTACACTGAGCCACAACCCCAGCCCTGGATTCTTTTTTATTAGTTCTTTTTAGTCACACATAGCATTAAGTGTTTGATACAATTATAAATGCATGGAATATAATTTGTTCTAATTCAGTCCCCAGCACTTCCCCTTCCCTTCCCCCCTCCCTCCCCTTTCTCTTCCCTTTAATGTACTGATCCTTCTGCTATTTATAGTATTTAAAAAAATTAGTGCCTTGTGAATATACATGATGGTGAGATTCACTGTGGTATATTCATATATGTATATAGAGAAGTTAGGTCCATTCATTCTATTGTTCTTCCCTTATCCTGTCCCTCCTCCCTCACCCTCAACTCAATCCCTTTCCTCTACTAATCTTTCTTCTATTTTGATCCCCCCCACCCATTTCTTTTTTCCTTATTTTGGACTAGCTTCTGCATATCAGGGAAATCATTCAACCTTTGATTTTCTGGGTCTGGCTTTCATTTAGCATGATGGTCTCCAGTTCCATCCTGTCCTTCATGAATGCAAAAATCTCAGAATTAAAATAAGCACTCTCAAAAGTTCAACAGTTTGCTAAAATCAATAAATTGCTTCCTGATGTTTAAATCACAAAGAACATAAAGATCAAAGTATACATCATGTGTTAAATATAGAATATCATGGTTTGCATTTTTTTACATTTATATGCATGGGAGGACAGAATATTGTTAAGCAAATACAAAAGCAAGATGTTAAACTATACACAATGGAATTTTACTCAGCAATAAAAGAGAATAAAATTATGGCATTTTCAGGTGAATGGATGGCATTGGAAAAGATAATGCTAAGTGAAGTTAGCCAATTCCAAACAAATAAATGCCGAATGTTTTCTCTGAAATAAGGAGGCTGACTCATAGTGGGGTGGGGGGGGGAGCATGGGAGGAATAGATGAATTCTAGATAGGGAAGAGGGGTGGGAGGGAAAGGGAGGGGGCAGAAGACTAGCAAGGATGGTGGAATGTGATAGACATCATTATCCATAGTACATGTATGAAGAAATGAATTGGTGTCAACATACTTTATATACAACCAGAGATATGAAAAATTGTGTTTTATATGTGTAATAAGAATTGTAATACATTCCACTGTCATTTATTTTTTAAAATCAATAAGAAAAAATTTAAAAACTATATATGACGGAATTTGGGAAGATTATTAGCTAATTTCTAACCTGGTGACCCAGAAAGTCTTCAATCTGTCATCCTCCTGTCATACTTCTTTCCTGTAAAATCTTGAAGGAAAATATCAGAATGTGAATAAGATAATACTTTATCATTTGCTATGCTTATGACTTCATGCCTAGTGCAAAGTTCTTTGCTAAGGCCCTTTTAAAGGCCCTTTGAGTTTAAAGGGCCTTATTCTCTTAGTAGTCTCAAACCAAAATTTCAGGATATAATTACCCTGTAACCAGCTACACAGTATAGCACATAGGAGATGAGACCATTATGTTACCTATAAGAGAAATAGAGCCATGGTCAAGTCAAGTCAAAGTGAAAAGTGGTTCTGGTCATGGGAAAAAAAATCAACTTAAAACAGTTGGCCATTTTGGATGAGATATCCCTGCCTTCCTCCCCCTCCTTCCCAGAGTTCTCCCCCCCCACCACCATTCTATTTCTTACCCTCCTCCCCTCCCCTTCCCTTTCCTCCCCTAATCTTCCCCTTTCCCACCCTCCTCACCTCCTTCCATTTTTCTCCTCTTTCTCCCATTTCTTTTCCCCCCTCCCCTATCCCATTTCTTTCCAATAACTTGAATGTGCATCCTTAAAAAAAACTAGGATCTAGGAAATATATCAGAATGTTAAAAAGTCATGTTTTTTTTTTAATTTTACTTTTTCTCAGCTAAGTACCACAATTTTATAATTAGGAGAAAATGCTAGATTTTAATAGCATCATACACTTTATTTGACTTTTATTTATTTGAGGTTGCAATAAAGGATCATGAAACAAGTATCAAATAATGTAATCATTTTCAGTGAAAGGTAAAGTAAAACATAATACAAAGAAAATGTGATACCTTTAGTATGCAATTACACAATGTGATAAAACTTTTTTAAAAAAATACTGTCATATTAATACCTTAGTGGTAAACAATAACTTCATTATGATTGATTTATAAACTATTATTCACATAAACAAATCCATATAAATCAAATGTAGTTTTGACAGACATTCTTAAAAGTATACTCATTTTTTTTCAAGCAGTCAAATTTCACAATGCACTGTTCTAGTTAACAATAAGTAGTGTATTTCTATAGCAAATTAATGAAGGCACAGCTAGTGCAAGCAGATTTAAACCCTTAGACTTCCGGGCTGGAAAAAGGAAAAAATAACAATAAAACCCTTGCATTGTTACTTCAGGAACTTTTTTTTCCAAGCAAATATTTTTCTAATAATTCTGACAGTTTTCACAGCTACAATCTAAGAGGAACATGACAAAAGGATTTCACAAAAATCAACATTCTGTAGCACCAAACTAACATGCTTTAAATAACTAACAACAGTTTACATATTTTGAAGAATATTACACTATAACAGGCTCAATAGAATAAACTAATACTTAAGACACTTTATAGAACAATTTTTAAATGGGCTAAGAACATAGGAAAACACAAGACATTTATAAGAGTAATAGTGTTCAGGTTATAGGGCAGGTTTTTATTTATTTCAAGGCTACATAAACCTGCTTCACTTCTGCTTGCTTGAATTTTTAAGATTCTTGAAAATTTTTTTAAGCCAGCTTTTTTATTTTCGGTATTTCCTATTTACGTAATCTCTGCCATCTTGATAGTAGGTATCATTGACTTCTCCTGTATAATAATAGATTGACTTCAGAATGACATTATCATGTAAGATTTGACCAATTTCAAAGTCCTCATCAAGGATAGCATCTTCTCGTGGTTCCAGCTTTCCAATCTTAGGAATCTCAGGAGGACTAAAGAAATTGAAGAATGATGCATTAGGAACCTCTCTTGGCTGAATTTCAATTTCTCCAGTAGCAGTTGTACGACTATGGGTGGTTGTCACAGTAACATCTTTTCCTCTTCTCCAATCTATCTTGCAGCCTTTGCAATCTTCAATTTCCCATCCCCAAGAGAAGAAGGGATCATTGTGATCTGGTTTTGACTTTATTATGTATGTCTTCATAAGCAACTCATTTCTGAAGTATGGATTGGGTAGGAAATGGAATTCAAAGGTGTAACTTATAGGCTGGCCAGGTTTTGAGAACTTCAGACTAACATCAGACAAGAATTTCAGAATGGGCTCATCATACTTCTGAATCATAGGCCCAAGCTTGTCAACATTCTTTAAAACGGTCAGCCAGTAGTCAGGAATGCCTTTAGGATCTTCTCTTTTAGGTTTCCCCTTCCGAGCTCTTTTAATACTCACTCTTTCTTTAGGCCTTGTCTCAGGAACTCTTTTATGAGCCTCTCTTACTGCAGACCTTGCCTTTGGCTCTGTTACTTTAGGTTTTTCTTCCTGTTCTGCCTTTGCCTGGAGGGCTTCTTTAGGATCTTCTTTTTCTTCAGGAGTTGCTTCCATACAATCTGTAGAATCTGCTTCTTCACCCTTTATTTCAGGAATTTCTTTAGGAACTTCCTTTTCTTCAGGCTTTACATCAACAATTTCTTTAGGAAGTTCCTTTTCTTCAGCTTTTACCTCAGGACTTTCTTTAGGAACTTCCTTTTCTTCATCCTTTACCTCAGGAATTTCTTTAGGAACTTCATTTTCTTCAACCTTCACCTCAGAGTTTTCTTTAGGTATTTCTTCTTCTTCCTCACCCTCTAAGGGAGGCATTTCACTAGGAGTGTCATCCTGCACCTCCTCATCACTGCTGAACTCCTCATCCTCTGAATTCCACTCACATTCTTCTTCTGTAGGCTCATATTCTGCATTGATGATTTGAAATCGCCTATCATACAGAGGCTTATTGAGTTCAGCATATTTTCTTTCAAGATCATGAATTGCCTTTAAGAACAGGGCGTCTACCTTGTCACATTCATCTTGAATATTCTTGAGGGCCTGCACACGATTTCTAACTGCCTGGGGCAGCCTATCCACGAAATTTGTCCCTGAGGGAGCCCGCGGCGCCCTTCTGGAAGGCTCAGGTACCTGCTTCTTTCTATACAAGCGGCTGTGGCTGCTGCTGCTGCTGCTGCTGCTGCTGCTGCTGCCGCCGCTGCTGCTGCTGCTAGTGCTGCTGCTGCTGCTGCCGCTGCTGCTGCTGCGGCTAGTGCTGCTGCTAGAGCTACTGCTGTCAGATTCGTCCCCAGAATCACTAGCTGAGCTAGCCATCTCTTCTTCAGCAACCCCCTGGGCGGCAGGTTCCGTGATCATTTTAAGATCCGCTTCTGCCATGTTGCAAGCCCGCAAACCTCTTAAGGTGGTGACTACCACAGAGACCGCGCACCCAGAAATGGGCAGAAAATGACTCACGGATGCTTGGCTGGCGACGGTGAAGGCCCGGGCTGCGGAGGTGGCACTGGCGACCGCTGCGGCAGCTCAGGGCGGGGCGGGACTGCAAGCCGCAAGCCGCGGTGCTGTAGCAGCAGCTTCTAAGGCGGCAGCGGCAATGGAGACCTGGGCGAGAGCCACGGGAGTAGGGCCTCTCCCTGTTGCAGCAGAAGCAGACCGAGGCGTGCCGCAGTCCAATGGCGCAGTGTGAGATCCTGAGTTCTTTTCTGGGCTCAAAACGTGAGCCCCCTCCCCTTACAGTCAGATCTCCTGTTAGTTTCGTTCCCAGTGTGCCTTTAGTTCGTTCTTCATTCGCTGGGCAACTTTGATTGACAAACCCTACGCCCAACGAATGGCCTACCGCAACACCCCCCCCCCCGGCTCCACCCACCTTCCCAGACGCTCCTTGGTAGCGGAGGCACACACCCCTGGAAGACGTTCTCCCCCACCCCCACTCAGAATTTTTTTTCTTTATAATTTTATAATTCAAAGAGAAAAAAAAAAGTTACACGAGGTAAAAATGCCAGCTACAGTTCCTAACAAGGGAAAAAGAGGAGTGTTTTCCTTCTCCCAACCGCCCATCCTGAGTTGGTCACGGGCCTCTTAACAAAAAGCTGTTTAAAAAAAAAAAAATTGGATGAAAATGCTCTGAATGGCGTCATTAGGTTGTAGGACTCTGGGTGATTAAAAAAACAAACCTGAGTTCCTCTAAATGTCCTGTGAGCATGTGTTTTTTACACTGGAAAAAAGGGGGAGTCGTTTATTGGCAGAGGGGGAGGGGCTAGACAGCAGGCATATTGCATTCCACGTAGCAGATTTAATAAGTGCTGTCTGTGATGTTTGGCAAGCCTGGTTTATATCCATCTACAAGGTTTGCGAACCCATGTTGCCGTGAGTCAGTTACACCATTTTTTAAAATTATATTTCTCTTTTTAAGCTGTCATATAATATACCCCAACCTTGCTGCTGAATTGCCACGAAGCCCTTTTCAATGCTTGCAACAACCTTTTAGATAAAGCAATGGGGTATTCAAATGTTAGGAAGTATTGTTAAAAAGCAGACGGTTTGTTTTATACTTTAGTGCAGCAGGTTTCAATTCCACAAACTGCAGGATGGGAGGGGGAATTTGTGCTAATGAAAGCATCCTCTGCCAGTGTATACGATGTCATCTGCCACCAGTTTCCTTCTTATATTGTAAAATATTAGCCATATTTAAGAATGATTTACAAGTCCTGGAGTATATGAATAAACTTTTGTAAAATGAAGCTTAAAAACAGATATATGTTGTTTTTATTTACAGGATTCTTTTCTGCTACAGATCAACTCCCTTGGTACAACCAAAAAGACCAGTGTTTACTTTTCATTGAAAGGTAAGGATGCTATTTAGCCCATATTTATGAATGACATAAAAATACCCAACTGTATTTGAATAGAAATTCATGGATATAGTCTTTTAGAGATTTAATTGGAAGATGTCTTTATATTTTTATAGAATAAAAAACCACAGAGATGATTTGGCATAGTAATGTAGAACCTAATCTACTAAACCACATTCACTATATAAACTTGGTCATGGAATACAAGTAGTATAATAAATTATAAAATATAATGTATTATTCATTTCAAATGGGGAAAGAGGTATTAAATTTAGAGTAACCATTATATTACTTCTTATTATAGAATTTGTGTTTTGTCATTTAGTCAGATATTTTTAAAAGTTAGGAAATGCTTTCTGATTTTGTCAAAGATTTCACCTTTACTTATCTCCAATTTCCAAAATATATGAGCATTGCAAAGATGAAACTTCAAATAGAAAATTTTCATGGCAAATAATGTCTTATTTTTAAATAGATATATATTCCATGGAAATAATTGTCTTCATTTATTTTATCAGATTTCTGTTGTAGGGAAGCTGTGTCGACACCATTTCTCTTTTTTTAATATTTTTTTGTTAGTTGTTGATGGACCTTCATTTTATTTATTTATTTACTTATTTATTTACTTACTTACTTATTTATTTATATGCGGTGCTGAGAATCGAACCCAGTGCCTCACACATGCTAGGCAAGTGTTCTACCACTGAGCCACAAACTAGCCCCACCATTTCTCTCTTTATAAACACACACCCTGTTATCAAATAATGCCCCTGGATACCTAGCGAATGAATACATATATGCTTGAGAAAATCAATATAGTATGAATTCCTAGAAATAGGGGGGTAGACTAAAGTTTATGCCCATTTTATCATTTTATACATATTACCAACACATGTGCCAGGAACACTTGTAGAGGATGGTGGTATAATGGTAAATAAAACTTACTATATGTGTGTATACTTTCATTTCATAATTTTACTCTAAACATATACCATAGAAAAAATCATTTAAATTAATGGGTTATACAGTGAATATTGTTTTGCAACTTAATTTTAGGTAAAATGATGGATTTTTTTCTTTTATTTTATAGTACTTTAATGATTTCATTTCCATGTTAAGGTTTGTACCACCAAGAATTAGTATTTTTGAGTCAATAAGTCAACATTTTTATTAGCTAATTAATTCATACAGAACCATGATAATGTTTCTGTTCTATACCTATTTGAAATGCCATCTTTATCACATTACTGAATTGACTTGGTCTATTACTAAATTTCTTTTCTAATCACTTGACCATAATTTTTCTATTAAAAAAACTCATAAGGCAGTTTTAAAATGACTTTATATTTTGTGAAAATAATATATGTCAATTTAAAAATGTCAGACAGTATATGAAATACAAAGAAGCAATTAAAAGTAATTCAAGGTATACCAAGAGGTAATCACAATTCATATTTTTAACAAATATATTTAAACTGATTTCTCAATATTATGTATTTATATTTCTTATTAGAGATATTATTGAATATCTTTTCATATTTATTGTCTATTTGAATGTTATTTATATCCTTTGCTTGTATTCCATGAAATTAAAAAAGTAATTAATCAGCGGTGAAATCCTAAAGGTAAAAAGCTTTGGCCTTTGTTTAAGGCAACTATGACTCTTTTAGAAAATACCTCTGTTCTGACTCATAATATTAGTCAAATGTGACTCAGTTACAGCTTTTATTCTCAAATTATCTACTTGGAGGGTTTCTTGGATACTTTTCAAAATTTAATTCTTTTGACATTTATTTTTTTTAAGTTGTAGGTAGACATAATATCTTTATTTCATTTTTATGTGGTGTTGAAGTTTGAACCCAGTGTGTCACGTGTGCTAGGCGACCACTCTACCACTGAGCCAAAACCCCAGCCCCTCAAAATTTAGTTCTTAATCACTCCACCAATACTAGAAATATTTGGATAATAAAAAGAAGAAATATTTATGAAAGGCCTCATAAAAAATAATATGCTAATTATTGTGATATTCAGTTTGGAAGTGTTTATTTCTTAGTTGTACATTATGTCAGTTTTTAAAAAGTAGGTGATTGTTACAGTCACAATACCCTACTTTTGTTGTGTGTATACTTCCCTGGTATCTCATAATATATTTTTATTTTGTGTTTTTTTTCTATTATTTTACTTAGTTCTATATAGTATATATAATTTAACTTATATATTACACCACATAATTTCTACTGTGAATATATTGTGAAATATTACTTCTAACATATCCTAAGCTTATTTTTCTTTAAAGGTTATATATAAATTTCTTGTACAGCAATATGTTCCTTGTTCAATTATTTTATAATTGGGGGGACTAAATGTTCATGCTTTTACATGATATGCTACTTCAAACGGAATCTGTTAGTATACCCAGACTGAACATAGCTCTTTGATGTCTGTTTACATTTTCCCTGAGATAAACATATACACAATCCCTTCCACATCCACACACATAAAAATTATACAGTGGCAAGCATCCCAATATTGTCTTTTGTTCTAGATATCTGAGATGCTAAACATTGAAAATTCATTCATTTTTAACTTCATTTTTTGTTCATGTAGACAGATTTTATCTATTTTAATACACAAGTCAATCCATTTTAAATGTTTTATTGAATATAATATATATAATAATTGTACATAAATTATATAATTTTATAAATGTTTATGCCTAAAAAGTATTATTTACATTAAGATAATGAAAACTTTTATCATCCCAAAATTTTATCATGCCCCTCTGAATCTCACTTCTATCCCCAGGCAATCACCAATCTATTTTTTTGTTCTTATCAATTAATTTGCATTTTTCAAAAATTTTATATAAATGAAATCATGATCTTAGTATATGCTCTGAAGCCAGAATTCTAAGATTTTAATTAGTTTTTCCCTTTCCTATCTCTCTTAGTTTATTTCATTTTCATTACATCTGTTTCCATCTCTAAAATGGAGCTAATAATGGCATATAAAATGCAGATTTAATATTCTTTGCTATTTTACATATTGTTTATCAAGATTGTATGTAAAAAAACCATTCTTGTTGTATGGCCTCAGCCTACTGCTAGCATTTCCTCCTGCTCATGTTTTTACTTATATTTTAGAAGCAGCAAGGAAATATACAAATAAATATTTTGTCTAATTTGTATGAGGTGGCAATTTCAAAGATATTGGCCACTCTTTGATATTAATAATAATACTTGGTCCTAATATTTCTAAGAACAAACAGACACTCATCCTGCTTAACATTATCCAACTAGGGAATATCTTCTTTTACTTTGAATGAAGAAAAAACACATTTTATATAAAATTTCAATTTAGGTATTGCTTTAATATTTTATATCACACAGTACCTTCTTTCTTAAATTACCTTCTTTCTCTTTAATTACCTGACTGTTCTAAATTATACAAACCTTATTTTCCAAATCTCAACTCATTGTATGTCATATCTATTTTTATCCCATTTACCTTTTTATTCCATTATAAAACTTATATACAATTAACTACTTATCTTTTATGCAGTTAACTACCTTTATCTTAAAATTTAGTATATCTAAATTTGTTAAGAATATCTTTTGTTCTAGATATTACCATTTTTTCCTTTGTATATATAAGTTTGGGGTACTATGTGTTGTAACTTTGTATAGTCATCTTTCATAGTTGTGACCAAAATACTTGATAAAAGCAACTTATAGAAAGAAAAGTTTATGGCTTGTAGTTTTAAAGGATCAGTCCCTAGCCAGCTGACTCCATTACTCTGGACTGGAGGTGAAGCTTCCATCATGGTAGTAGAGGATAGTGGAGAAAAGTTGCCCAGCTCATGGTAGCCAGAAAGCAGAGAGAGAGGCCAAGAGCACAAGGAGCCAGGGACAAAATATATAATCCCATGGAACAATCCTAGTGACCTTCCTCTAGCCACCTTTTTACAGTTACTACCCAGTAATCTATTCAAATCCACTGTTAGGTTACAGCTTTCATAATCATTTCACTTCCTGCATTAACACAGTAGCTGTTTGGGGACACTTAATATCCAAATCATGACAGATTTAAGTTAAAAATCTCACGTAATACTTTAGATTTTCTTTGTTCTTTAGCTTAGAATAATAGCCTCAAGTCTAATAGCTGTGGAAATATTTTCCTTTTTGGAGATAGAAGGAATTTGAGAGATCTTGTATAATTTCCTTATACACATTGGGGAAATTGAGAATTTCCATGTTGATAAACATTCTCAATATTTCTAGGTATTCATCACTACAAATAATTTTGATTAACATACTTTTAAGTATATTATTATTTGTTCAAAATGTCTTTTTTCACAAATTTTAGAATTTGAGTTTGGGAGCAGATTAAGAAATAAATGAAAATCATTCAGTCCTCCAAGAATGGATTATTATCCTCAGCATTATGCAGTTAGTGTTGATAGCTGTCAATGAATAATAATAATTAATTTTATCACTTTAAATGTAACATTGGAGGTATGGTTGTGGTTCAGTGGTGGAGCACTTGCCTCACATGTATGAGACACTGGGTTCAATCCCCAGCACCACATAAAAATAAAGTAAAGGTATACATAAAAAAAAATAAGTGAAATGTTTAAAAAAGAATAAATTATGTTTAAAAAAAATGGACCAAGTGCTTTGTTTTTCCAATTTCATTTTAATGAATCTATTGAGGGTATTATTACTATCCTCAAACCATCTTTATATGATATTGTCATCATATTTGAGGATACTAAGTCATTTACTTACTCAAAGTCACATAGTTTATAATTGGAAGAATCTGCATGTGAAAACAGATGGGCTCATATTAGATGTTAAGATCTTAACCACTCTACTATATCTGCTTTGATGAACAAAAGTGAATGGACTCCTGGGACAGAGGCATTGAAATTAGAGTTACATCCATGACCACTCTTCCATGTCTCTTATAGCAGTTTTATTCTCACAGTGTCAACA